GCGCGGCGGCTGCGGCGGCGGCGGCGGTGGTGAGGCGGCCTGTGGTGTTCCGGCCCGGCCGGCCGTGGGGAGGAGCGGCCGCGATCATGTCGGCGGGCGGCCGCGACGAAGAGCGGCGGAAGCTGGCAGACATCATTCACCACTGGAACGCCAACCGGCTGGACCTGTTCGAGATCAGCCAGCCGACCGAGGTGAGCGCCGCCGCCGCCGGGGTGTGAGGGGAGGGGGCGCGCGCGGGCCGGCGACGCGGAGGCCGCGAGAGGCAGAGTGCGGCGGGGTCCCGCGGCCGCCCCTCCCCCGCCGGCCTGCCTGCCTGCCGCCCGCGGACCCGCCCTCGCCCGCGGCCCTGTCCCCTCGGCCTCCGCCCACCGTGCTGGCCAGCGGGGTCCCTAGGGGCGCTCGTCCTTGTCGCCTCTTGCCGCGCCCCGTCGCCCGGGCGGGGTCCAGGGCGGCTCGGTGGCCCGCGCAGCGGGCGGGCGGGCCACCTGCGCTCGGAGACGCACCTGGACGCGCACTTGTGTCTCCGGGACCCCGTCTGGCCACCCACGTGTGTCCTCAGCCCCCACCTGTGTCGCCGCGACCCTCTCCAGGCTCTCACTTGTGTCCCCGGGCCCGGCTTGCGCTCACAGGACGGCACCTGGCCGCCCACCTGTGCCCGCACGCCCCACACCTGTGCCTCCCGGCCCCCGCCTGGCAGGGCACCGGCCCCCCACGCGGCCCTGGCGGGCTGTGGGCCTTCCACGGCGGGGTGCGCTCCTCGCGGCCGGTTTCTTTGATGGCATCTCCCTAATGTCGGGACGCGGATCTCGGTCCCTCCGAGGCCACGTGACCGGCCGGTGCCCGCGGGCGGTGTGAGCCCGGTGCGCCCTACGGCGCGCGGGCATTCGGGCCTGGCGGGGTACGGCGGCGCGCAGCGGGCGGACAGATAACCCCTGCTCTAGCTCGGTGCGCTGGCGATACGCAACGGGGCTGCGGGAAGAGTTCTGGACGATCTTGGGGGTGGGGTGAGGGCAGGTATCCAGCGGGTTGATACCGGGGAGTCTGCGGGCCGGAAGCCTTGGGGAAACCTCCCGTGACAGCGGGCCGAAGGGCGTTTGGTTAAGTCGTGGCTGGGCAGACTTGTTCCACGCGACCCCACACTTTACCCAGGACTTGTGCCGGATTTGGAAATAGCTCTGGGTTTGAATCGTTGTCAGAGGTGCTTGACTGCAGCCAGCGCTTAGCAGCGAACGCACATTGGGTAGATCCGAGCAGTCTCTGCAGATTGACTCTCAGGCTTGCCTTTCCCCTTTTGACTTAATTTTGCCTGTGGAGGAAGGCAGGTTTCCTTCTCCTTCCCTCACACCTTCTTGTGAGCACACTTGACCTAGTTAGAGCCCTTTCTCTCGATCCCTATTTGACAAGCCAAGGTAAATTATTAGGTTCAGGTTGCCAATTTGAACACCGATGTTAAGTTACTCCTGATTCATAATTCATCTTCTGTAACGATTTTATGAGTTGTATTTTAGTAAGCAAATTTACTGTGTAGTTAGTGTTCATTCATAACCTTACAAGCGTTTTTTAGAAAGGAGACATCAAGCAATTTAGTTTCAGTTTTATCTTGTCTTTCAGAATAATTAGCTTGATTTTTTTTAAAATGGCAGGATAAACTTTGCCAGTAAAATATTGCTAGTCAGGTGACTTCTCTTGTGCTCCCCGCCCTGCCCCCCCGAGTTCTTGTCTGGTTAAAAAAAGATGTGTTTTCTGTTGAGAAGTAACATTCAGCTTATTGATTTAGTCTTAAATTGAGGTGTTTCTTTAAACCATTTTAAATTAAACATTTTAGATTTAAGTGGATCCTATTTTATAAGCATTCACTTGTAACTTCTATCTATCCTTTTGGAGAGATGAACAGTTAACTAAAGTTGCATGTTTTGGGGGATGCTTCTCTCCTCCCCCAGTTTTCTTCAGGTAAAGAGTTGTGTAGACAATGAAAAAAATTAAGGGACTTAAAATGAAATTATCTTTTTCATGCTACATTATCCTCCCTTACATCTGAACATTTCTATTTTTAGAAACAACTTGTAATTGAAAGCCTTTCATTATGGAATTAATTTGTTTTCAAAATGTCTTCTTTTTCTTTATTATGTAATGGCTAGCACACATTTTCTATTTTTTTTAAGAGAATCTTTGAGTACTATTAAAATGATTCTGTTCTTCAATTTGAAGCTAAGATTTATTAGCACACTATATCATAAAAGTAAGCCCAGTTCTCAGAAGCAGTAGTGGAAGGCCAGTGGCTGCAGCCTGCTTTGTCTAAGCTGCATCTGAAAATAGCTTTACCATCCTACGTTTGCTTTTTATTCCATTTGGCTATTACAAGTCAAGCAGCTTTCTACAAGAGGAGAAGAATTAACCAACCCCTGTAGATGTTCAGTAACCATTGAAAAGATTCGCTGCAGAAATTGATTTGTGGAAGATTTAAGCCTTGCATTTGTTTTTAAATGGGCAGTGTTTTATGCATGTTTGCAAGAGTGTTTTCTTTTGTTTGTTTATTTTGGTACAGTGTTGAGTGTCTATTGCCGCATTTTAAACTCTACTAGTCACCTGTGACTTGGTTGTGTCTGGCAGTTGTGATAACCACTGATAATTCTTTGCTTTCGATATTGAGCAAGATGATAAACATGGGTTATATTTTCCTTTAAAGAAGAGTATGTTTAGGCATCATCCTGGTTAAGTTTGCACTTTTCCTTCATGTTCACACTTTGTTCTGTGAACCAGCAAGTTGTTAAACATTTTTCAGTCAGTCCTTTATTTGGGTCTTGTGTACTTCTTGAAAATAGAGCTAAAATCTAAACTCAATGTGAACATCTTATGACTGGGAGATTGGTGTTAAGCTGAATTAATACCTTGGCCACTATAGAAACTAACAAACATTTTCTCAAAGTGCTGTGGGACTCTCTCCTTTTGAAATTAGGGATTTCTGATGATTTATAATGGAAGAGTGCCCCTTTGGATCTTTTTAATTTCCTAGTACCATTTAAGAAGAAGGCTTCTTTGATCATCCACAGGTCTTACCAAGATTTGTTATCAGAATGAGATTTTTTTCTCTCTCTCATTACACAAAGTCAAGAAATTAAAGATTTATTCTTGCAGAATTGCCGTCTGTCGCAATTGGTACTGACTTTGTGTATTCCTTTGTTCTGGCAAAAACCTTGTAAAGTTCAATGAAAATTGTTCATATGATAAAGACTTTATTCTGACTTTTGCATAAAAGTTATGCTGATAAACTTTGCTAAGTTATTGACTTTAGCTTCAATGAGATACTTTTCAGTCATTCGTTACTTATTTAATTCATTGTTGCCTTTTTGTGGCTGGGGAGAAATAACCCAGAGTTTGTGTGTACACTCACATAGGATTTATTATAGGTGAACACGATTCATTCTCATTCCTCGGTTAATCTTGAGAAGTCATGTGATGATATTATAAAAGATGTGTGCAAAAAATAACATGGAGATTGCTACAAGAGGCGGACTAGGAAGCGTTCAGGCAAAGAGGTGGTGACTGCATCGTTAGTTGTAGCTACATCTGTCTTCTAGACGGACACTGAGGGTCATGCAACCTGCTTATGTTTGAAGACTTTGAAGGTGACAGCTGCAGTTTAAGTATTGGTCCTGATGAAATCTTTTTTTTTCTGTGACTATAAATGAAACAGGTGGTAGTTGTTGGTGAAACTGAGTATTCACAGGCATTCTGTTCTTCATTTCCTTCCTTCCTTTTTTCCCCCCTTTTTTCTTTTATCTCATGACAGGGTTTCCCCTTGGCTGTCCTGGAACTCACATGGTAGACCAGGCTGGCCTTAAACTTTGAGAACCTGCCTGCCTCTGCCTCCCGAGTGCTTCCGCACCACCTTGCTCAGTCATTCTGTTATTATTTACTTTTTTTGTTATTGTTTGAGATGAAGTCTTCCTGAGTAGCTCAGATCAGCCTGCAGCTAGAGATTCTCTGCCTCAGCTCCTCAGTGCTAAGATTATAGGTGTGTATACTTGGCTTTTTTTTTTACTCCTTAACTTACTGACCTGTAGTGATTGTTATAATTCTCTAAAGTCTTTATGGTCGGTAATAACGGATGTAAAATTTGTGTTTATATACCTCTTGTCTAATTTATGTACTTGAAACAATTTCAGATGTTGGCATTGTCCAGAGATATTTTAACAGGTTAATGTGTAATTATTAGATGGTTGAATTGATAACTGCTGAAACCTGTTTTCCTGAACATCTGACTTGTAAATACTTTATACCCCGCATTTCTGTTTGAAGTTCATACATAAGTGAAAGTAGGAGAACTACCAATGCTTGTAACTTTAATTTCTTCAAATCCTGTTTTAATGATGCTTTTTAAATGCTTTACCCTCCCTTACAGCCCACCACCCACCAGAAGTAGTAGAAAAGAAAGGATACGGGGTGGGTTGGGGGTGGGAGTGGACCTGTTTGGAAAGGTTCTTTGGAGCAATTCCCATCTGTGTTGTCTGGAAATTGGCAGCTCAGTTCACAGGCAGAGGCAGCTCTATCCACTCACAAACACTTCGTGGATACACCAGCAGTCCAGTTTGGTAGGGTCGGCTTAGCAACAGCAGTGGCATGACCTAGCAGAGACAACTAGGCCTCAGCTTCTGCTCAAGTCAGCAGGAGGGACCAGCAGAAAAACTAGGAAAAGTTCTCAGCTGTGCCTCTCTTAGGGAAGAGAAGATCAGGGAAGACTCAAGATCTACAAGCATTGCAGTTAGCTGTACCAGCAAGCCAAGTTCTATCTTGTCACTCTGTGGAGTCCTATTTTTACCCTCCAAACATCACCTGTCCTCCACGTGCCTTACCTCAGCACCTGCATCCAATCAGCCTGAGTCTGCAGAAGTAGCAAGAAACTCCAGTACACCACCAGAAGTTTTTTGTTGTATTTCTCTCTATGGAGTCCAGACAAATGCAGCTCAACTATGTAATGTAAGGTGGACCAATACATGTGTGTCGTTCACAAAGAACCCTTCATCCCGTGTCCTTTCCTTTCACATGCTTACTTTAGTAGAACACCCTCTCTCCTGTGTCTGCTTCAGTGAAATGTTCCTTCAGGAGTCTGCCTTAGTCTTTCATACCTGTGTCCACTTTAACGAAACATTCTTTCACGTGTTTGCCCCAGTTAAACACCGTCCAACCGACT